CAGGTGGAGGGAGGAGTGTGTTGGCCGAGTGCGGACCTTTGTCCACCACAGGCAATTACTGACGCTCGACCTTGAACTTGGCGATAGGAGCCCAATAATGCTCAACAATACGCATATTGCTTCTTGGGCTATTAAAGCTAGAGCAGAATTGATAAATCTAAACTACAAGCCGTGGTCCGAACAAAATTATCTTTGCACTCTCTGTAATCTTCAACAAAATGAAACTGCATATCATTTTATTGCAATTTGCCCTATTTTAAAACATATCAGACGTCTTTGGCTTGGAAAAAATACGTTTAACGAAACAGAATATGAGTGTTTTTTTAATGGGTGGAATTGGCGAGCTTTAGCCCAGTAGGGTAAAAAAGTAAATAGGGTAAGTAGTAAGTAGGGCATGGAAATATAGGTGGGACATAATTAATGAATTCAATTTATAGTTAAATTTTATTTCTTTCTCTATTTTTATTCAATTACAATTAAAAATCATGAAACTTACTTGGACCCACTTTTTACACAAATTAATGTTGCTTTTATTTTATGCTTTTTTACGAGCTGTAATACATAAATTTAAAAATAATTATAAATGTAGTTTTTTTTATATACGTATACCTAGTTTAATAGTTACATGTTACAGTTTTAAAATATGTTATTTTACAGCAGGGTGCCAACCAAACAGACGGTTTAAATAAACCATTGTTTTGTGTGATTTGTTTTTATTGTATCAGTTGTAAATAAGTTGTGAAGAATAGAGCACTTTTTCCTTTCTTTCTTTCTTTCTATACCGTAGCCTACTTGTGCTTTGCGTTTGCGATGGGAGAGGACAGAGAAAATTTGGTTCTTTTAAATTAGATGTTGTCATAAATGCAAAAAAAAAATAATAGTGCTGCACCCTGTTGGTAAACCTTATAACTTTTTAAGGCGGGTTACACACCGGTATCTCCGACATGATGTCGCAGATATTTTTCGTGCCTGCGACATGCCCCTTGAAAACCAACCTATGTTGACTTATGGAGCTTTACACACCAGTATCGCAGACGTCTCGAGCGAACCAACCGGTCGGTGTTTGGACAGACATGTCTCTTGCCTCTTGGGCCCACGCGTGCGCAGAACACGTTTCTAGTAGTTTTGGGGCTTTTTTACTTACTTAATTGCCTTATGGTGTGAAATTTAGTATTGTAATATTATAATACTTCAATTTACACCATAAGGAAATTACATAAGTACTGTAATACAATTAATTACAATGTATTTTGGAAAAATTACAATGATGTTATCTTTAATGTTTTTGTAGAAAGAACAACAGCAACGACACATCATCTTCTTCTGACGATGACATTAATTAAACTGATGAATGTTGTGATTCCTTCACTTTCATGTCGCCAGCACGTGCCTCTTCCCATGTTTGTGTTTTATTTTATGTCGCAAACATCATGCCCGCGACATCACAAATATTGGCGACATTATGTCTGCAATACCAATGTGTAACCCGCCTAATGCTATTTAATATCATAAACCAACTTTTGTAGGCCTAGTTGAAACAGCTGACAAAATGATTTTATTACTTTTAAATATGAATACTCATAAGGTTAACATGGGAAACACCAGAGCCACTGGGGCGGAGCCCGAAAGGAACTTGGAGATAAGAATGGGTCTATATGTTAATCGGGAATGTGATCTATCATCATACCAAATTTCAGCCCAATTCGGCCAGTATTTTTGCGTTTACTTGTCACAAACATCCATACATAGATCCAAACTTTCTCACTTATAATATTAGTGGAATTTATATATATAAATTTATATATATTCTCATTAGCATGATTAACTCAAGCAAAATGATCCGATTTTGATGAAATTTGGTACAAACGTATAAACCTACGTGAGTTTGCAAACCAGCATGATCGGATAATGGGAACGGGGGTTTATTTGACGCCAAAAACATATTTTGCAATTTATTTCCATACTATTTTGTAGAGCTAAAAAACAAATAATTTAATATGTTGACACGTTATCATGCGCATAATGCTTACAGAGAAAATTAAAAAAAAAATTGTAACTTAAAAATTCTCATGTTATTTGCATGGAGAACAAGTAAACGCTTGTAATTTGCTCGTTCATGAACATATTTATCAATTTTGGAAAATGTATATTTCATACTAATCTATGAACATTTCACCCATAAAAAACCTTTTTTACCCTCCCTGTTGTAGCAAACCTAATTACTCGTTAAACTAATACTATTTAATTAGGGAATAAATAAATGTGATAAGATTTTAAGATTTTTTAAGAGATATTTTAGAGTAAATCCAATCAGGTTTATGGAAATTCGTTTAGTCTGCAGGTTTGCTGTGGCGGGGGTATTTTTATTGTTTAGGTGCAATGGTGGAACATTATGGCTATGGTAGATGTGCTTTACTATAGCATACCGTAAATTAGAAGAATGTGTGCTCTCCCATTGCAAACGCAAAGCACTAGTAGGCCTATAATTGCAATTTAAGCATTTTATACTTATACGCCAGCGTCGCAAACCCCGTACGAAGGATGGGTACTCTGCTAGTAAATATAAAAATAACATTACTAAGTTTAGTACCGTGTTTCCACAAAATATTCAGTGGGTTAATAGCCTATTTTGTTACAGATACATGATTGCTACTTCAAATTGCATGGATTGAAAGAGAAAGCTCTCAAGTTTTGTGTGATATTTGCTAAAGTTGCTATCTATATGCTGCCTTTTTGCAACAAAACATGTTTCCAGTCTATTTTGCAACTCCACCCAAACGTTGATAAGCATATCCTGAAGTACTGTTGTCACTGCGTACATACTTTCTAATGTAAATACTTTCTCATAGAGCATTTACAATCATCATAGTTATATACAATTTTAGCTCGGAGAGGTTTGACCTAATGGCGGGGTGTATGCCTTGTCCTTCAAATAGCCCCGGAGAAAGAAATCGCCGATAAGGTCTAAAGAATGGGGATGCTAGTAGAGCTGAGCCATCCTCAGTACAAAGATCAATTCAACCATTAGGGAGTCTGATATTTGGATACTTTGGACATCACAGTGCCAATGAGGTGGAGCCCCGTCCTGCTTCAACACTAAGTGGATGTCCAGAAATGAAACATCAGTAACAGTGTTTTCTACATTCATTGTGGTCTTTGACACTGCACAAAAGACATTCAATTTCGGTGAGTAAGTTATCACTCCAGATGCAGAGCCCCCCTAAATCCCCTTAAAATCTGTATATTATGCTTTGTTGCATAGCTCTTTACGGTTAAGGAAATCAGCCTGTTGTAACTTCTGAAAGCAGTTGTAGTTGATAAGGCTTAAAGCGCATATTTTTATGTGAGACCTTCCAACCGTTGGACTTAGGTCAGCCTAGTTCCCGACTGTTGAGACCCTGGTTAGTAAAACTGCCTCTCCCTATTTATAGAATCCACAGATTAACTTGGGCAGGATTCTTATGTTCCAGCAGGCTTCCTGTGTTTTTGAACTGCCAATAACATCACAAAATGCTCTGGTGAGTTGAAACAGATCTTATTAATTGTCTGAAGACTTCATATGCTGTACAGTTATTAGGAGTCAGCAGGACCACCGGCCATCTTTGATTTTCTCCCCATAACGGCAATCTTAATTGTAGTGTTGGGCATGGACAGTCGATATATCAGAAATGTTGATGTTTGTAAGCCATAATTATTAGTAGGCTAATATTTGACTCCGATATTTATTTATTTTTCACTTTCACCGTCACTTCGCATCGGAAGTAATTATTTCTCTATTTAAAGTAAAAACTACAGCTAAGAGGTGGCATGACAATACTGACTACACCAAAGTGCAAGTGTCAGTCAGTTTTTTTTTTTTTGTTCACTATGTTCATGTTCGTTTGTACAGTCCAGTCACACCTCTCCATTCCATCCACGATCGTGAAGACAGTTAGCAGTGGGTGGAGGATTCCGTACCCTCACTAGGCCTACTCATCCTCTGTGCAGTCTAATAAAACAGAAATAAACCTAAAAAAAATGTAAAACCATAATATAGACGATATAACACATTTTGTATCGATTTCCCACCATATCTTATCATTTTAAATGGTAGTGTGTATTTCTTAATAGGTTTACAAGTTACTTTGAGCCTGAGGTCCACCTAACGTCTCCACTCTCAAAATAAATGTGAATGTTTGAACATACATAAAACGAATGTTGTAAATGATATCCTGCCACATTTTATTGTTAAAAGGGTAGTATGTAATTACCTGTAAAAAAAAGGTTATGAAAATATAAACCTATACAGTGGTGTAACTAAAACATGGCTTTGAGGGGGAGTCCCCAACTATGGGGTGACTATGGCTTTGGGGTGAAGGAGCCCCAACACCGGGGGGTCTGGTAGCAAACAGGGTGGTCAGGGGGTCCCCCCAAAAAAATTTGAAAAATTATAACTCAAAAAATCAACCAATCAACCCAGTTGAGGCTGTCTCTGGCTGGTCAGAACCAGGAAATACCAAGTAACTAAATCATAATCACAAGACAACAAACAAATTTTATTAAGTTGTTATTGTACTTGTAGCCTTCTGAGCTGCGCGTGAAGAGCTGTAAGTATCTACTGAGTTTTTATTAGCCTATAGGCTAAATTATCTTAACAGGCTGAAAACTTAATGCACCGGTATTATTGATCAGTAGACCTACGACCTACAGTGTGGACATTTGTTAAGACACTTAAGACACAATCAACAATGAGGATTGATATTCAAAACCAATAATGTGAGAAACCCTTATGGATTTCTTGTGGGTAGACTTCGTATCTCTTGTCAAAAGCATCCCAATGAAAATTTCGATCGATAGCCTATATAGTTTGGTTAGTTAGGTTAGGTTAACTTAACTAACCAAACTATATCGAATGAAACAATCGAACAATCAATATTTTCATTCGGTTGTTTTTTACAACAGATACGGAAGTCTAGGCCTAAGTTACCCTTTCAAAGATATTCCAGAAATGCAGGACCTACCTTTAACTAAACTGGATGTGAAACAAATTTAATATAGTATACAGTTAGTATTTTACTTAGATAAATACACGCACGAACAGTACTCCTAGATCCTAATTCAATAATAACACCAAACGAGTAGCCTATAAACGACCAAACCAAAATAACATTTTGAGGTTAGCTGTTAGCTCTCTAGCCAGCCCTGAGTCCTGACCCTCCTAGGTCCTGACTCCCTGAGAGTTTCGTCCGTCGCGTCGTCGTAAGTTCGTGATCTAGTTCCTGGTTCCAGTACAGTACAGTAGTTTTGTTAACTTGTTGAGTTGTTGTTGTTGCTGTTGTTGTGAATTTACTACTAGTTGAGATATGATTGAATGAATGAATTCGAATTGACAGTTTGGAGTTGACACCTAAATCATCCTAAACTAATTAATTATGGAACGAAATGACCAAAAATATAATATTGTTATGTGACATAAATGGATATTAAACATGAAATATTCTGTTTTAAATGCCCAGATATTGAAATAAGGATGATACGCTTCAATTTAAAATATAAAAAATGAGTAAGTAAGTAGGCTAAATTAATTAACAATTATTATAACCTATTGCCTGATGTAACTCACTGTGATTTTAGGTTAAGAGTGGTAACTTACCAGATTTAGTTCAATATCACTCAGTTGTAACATTTAAACACGAGATGACTCAAGGACTAGGCCTATTAAAAACTTAACTTAGGCCTATCACAATTCCTTCATCTTGACAGCAAATAAAAGTACGCAGAGGATACGCGTCCGGTAATAGGACGTGGATTAGGCGTCCGGCCAATACTGTCATAGCCTAACCTAACCTAACTAACCAAACTTGCTGATAATGAAAAAAATCAAATGAAGGTTCAATTCTCTTTATAACATAAAATTATAAATGCCAAAAATTCTAACAAAAGATGTACAGTTAAGAAGAAATTACATTCAAAGCAAAATCTGTGATGAAAAGTTAAAGAAACCGATGGGTTTCGAACGAGGGACCTCTTGGATATCAGCCGAGCACTCTATCCACTACACCACGAACAATGCTGGCCAAACATAGTATCGTTGTGGTTATGGCGTTCCGGCACCCCACAACCCGGTGACGTCACTACCGGACGCCTAATCTAAGTACGTCTGGTTACCGGACGCGTATCCTCTGTGATAAAAGTAAATAATCGCCAATATAACATTTATTACAAATCAAGGCTTTCCACTTGGTTTCTTTATTGGCAAAGGATGTACACGTCTGGTGGTAACCGAACGTAGATTAGGCGTCCGGCAGTGACGTCTCTGGGTTATGGGGGGCCCGGAACACCATTGACACAACGATACGGTGGAATGCCGTCGGTGTTTATTTTAAAGCCGCCCATACACGGGCAAACATGTTCGCGAGCCTGTTGGTGTACACGCTTGCGAACATGCTCGGTGTTTCCAACAGACAGTCAAGCATGCTCAGTGATTCTGACAGACGATCGAGCATGCTCGTGAACATGCTCGCCACCACCGCCCAGTAGGCTACCTACTCTTGCTTATCTCGATCTGTGACAGTCAAGTTGTGTTTAAAATTGATGCTAACGCTGTTGGCTATTTGCGGTGGTCTTGTTTTATTGGAAAATGAGAAAAAAACGCAAGCCACGAAAAATATTGTGTAAGAGTTGGCTTGAAAACAGGAACCGGGTCACTCACATGTCTCTGAGTAGAACTAGCATTATATGATAATAAAAATGAACTGAGGATAACAGAAGACAGTCTCAAAGACATTTTCTGATGTAGGTATTTTCCAAACGTACCTATTTTAACTTAGGCCTACATGTACGCTCGCGAACATGTTGGTCGTACCCACGGACGGGCGAGCATGTTTTTGTTGGGGCTTGGGCTCACCAGGGCCAACAAGTTTAGCGCCGAGCCCAACATGCTCTCCCCTACGAAGGCTTGTAGACCCTATAAACTTACACGGGCGAGGATGTTCGCGTTGGCGGTGAACATGCTCGCCTGTTTATGGGTGGCTTAAGACATTGGGGATATACTTTTGCAACTCTAACAGAGTGTATAGCGTCACTCTTCTCTTGAGGGAACACCATTACCGCAACGAGACGGTTTGAAACCTTCAGTGATCGTGGCGTAGTGGGTAGCGTAGCCAGGTCCGCGGAATTGGCTAACTCTGGAACTCGCTAACCCGATGTTAAATGCCCTATCTTAAAATTTGGTCGATGAGAGGAACTCACTAACTTGTTCGGTTTCGGAATCGGCCAACTCCGGAACCCGCTCTAGAGCCGGGTTAGCGAATTCCGTCCTCGTACGGAAGTCGCTAACTCGGTCCCTCGGCGGAACTCGCTAACTCCCAATCAGAAGCCTTGCGCGCCATCCAATGGGAGCCAAGCACGAAGATTGTAGGCCAGTTTTGTCGAAAGTGTCGTACCTGCAATCGTATCGGTACCATAATGTCGTATACTACGGAAAATTAGGAGTAAGAGTAAGAGCAATGTAGTCGATAAAATAAATATCTATTCAGAATTATGTTTCATATTATTCTTATGATTATTATTAGGGTGTAAAATGCATCATAGTCTTACCAAAGACTAACCAACACAAGTAAACTTTACATCCCATTTTAAATTTTGAAGGTCGTTTTTCGTGTCTAGTTCATGTCCGGTGACACTGATCGCTAGTGTCGACGAAATTGTGTTTATATTATTTTATTGTAAACTTCATGATTTGCTCCCTTCTGTTTGGTTGTATGACTAGGGGACGTGTTATTAGTTATAATTAACGTGACCATATATATTGGAGTACGAAGCGGGACACCCCATTCCGGGGGGTCTGGGGGTATGGAATACCCCTCAGCTGATAGGGGGGTGGAAAAATGTTGAAAAATAATATCTGTAAACTAGCGTTTTTATGCAATCTAGACATAATAATTTGTAAAACATAAATTGGTTTTTAATTGAGTTTTTATTATATTTAACCTATTTGTAAGTTCATTGAACGGAACATATCTTTCTACTTAGAAATCTCCTCAAAAGTGGATAGCTTCACCAAGTGCACGTAAACAGTGGGAACTGAGCGAAGGACGTGAATTTACAAATGGCGGGTCACATCACTTTTGTTCGTCTCAAACTTAAGTTTAAATAAACGGATATTTCGCTTGTAACTCACTCTTAAATGTGAATTTCCGTTTGGTCATTATCTAATGCACAATTGAACAGTACAATAATCAAATCTCCAAACAAACTTTCTTCGCACCGAATGGTACCTAAAAGCAGTAGTATGTTTTCTGTGCTAAAAAAGAGAGGTTAAGGTACTGTAAACAACTTGACAGTTTAGTTTAGTTTAGGCCTGGCGCACACGGTTGATTTTTCGATTGGCCGATTAAAAAATCGGCCAAAAATAAATCGCCCTTGATTTATGTCTAGGCGCACACGTGGCGATTTTTTAGTCGAGAAATGGATTTTTTTAGTGTGTTTAAGCTATCCTAAAATGGACTATGTTGAATTAACCTGTGTTTGTGCTCTTCTAATTAGACCAAAGAAAAAAAAGAAGAAAACTTAAATATTGGGTCCATCCGATAGTAAGTCAGGGACTTTTAAATCGACAGTTTTATAAACTATACACTTTACGTGATGACAGTAAAAAGTCCTTTAATTACTATAGAATGTCTGATGAAAGTTTCAATTTTTATTATAACAGCTGTGGGCTGTGGCCTTTTTTAGCAAAGAAAACAACACAACTCACACTGAAGTTCACTGACTCCTGTGGAGAACAACAAGCGACTGGCCGATTTTTAGTCGACCGTGTGTGCGGACTGATAACAAATACATGATGCACAGATTGGCCGATGAAATAATCGCTCGTGTGCGCCTAGCCTTACTGACAACAGTGACAACCTGCGTCTTTTGAGGCCGTAGTAGCCTACAGTGCTTTAACACTCGCGCAGAAATAAATTGTAGGCCTACTAGTGCCGATCTTTGACGAGTATAGTATAGATAGTTGAGTTCACGCGATCGGGGATCGATGAACGATGACGTGCTAATTGTACAGTTAACCAAATAGGTTAATAGGTTGGTTTCCTTTAGTTTTCCCTATAGTTACTAACAAGTATTCTTACACGAACTAAACATTAGTGTGGAAAGGCAAAATTTCATATTCCATATATAATATTTCAAACGCCTGACCTCCAAAGCGGGACATTTAGGCGTCCCCCGGCCGATTGTGGGGACAACGGGACAACTTGTTGTAAAGCGAGACTGTCCCGCCGAAAGCGTGACGTATGGCCACGTTAGTTATAATTAGCACGTTTTATTTGTTTAAACGACGTTTTTAATTACTGAAAACAAGAAACAAATTGTAAACAAAACACGACCTCTAGGGAGAGCGCACCGGACAGAACTAACAATAAAATTGTCTTCAGCTGATCCATAAGGACGAGAAATGTACTAATATATTAAGGGAGTATGCTTATGGTCTTCTTACTTAAAAATAGTAGTTTATTGGGATGCAAAAAGATAGTACTGTAAGCCAACATTTAATTTGAATCTTTTTCAGGTTATGAAATATCTATTTTCGTAGTCGGTCATTTGTTTCTTTTATTCGAATTAATACAATTTTGTTAACTTCTGCAAATAAAATTATTTAGTTCGTATTTTGTCTACGGTACTGGGCTTGTAATCTTGAATGCTTGTCCTTGATAACTTTTCCTAACTTTTTGTCAAATATTTTTGCTTAGACTGTGATTACTCCTTAACTACACATCTTTTGTTAGAGTTTGAGGCATTTATAATTTTATTTTATGAACAGAACTATCTATATATTAAAAAATATCGCTTTTTCTTTTCCGAGTCCGTCCGCCTCTTCTATCCGACCGAGTTTCATGATTTTGGTCTTAAATTAAAGGTATGCACGCGTAGATTTGCCATCAAGCATCGGCATTTATCTGACGTATTACTCGAGTTATGCACAAACGTAATTTGCTCCCTGTACATTTCTTATGGGAGATAAATTTGGTTTTTCTTTTCCGAGTCCGTTCGGCTCTTCTACCCGACCGATTTTCATAATTTTGGTCTTAAATTAAAGGTATGCACACGTAGATTTGCCATCAAGCATCAGCATTTATTTATCTACAGTATTACTTGACCAAATAACATAAATTAGATTTTTTTTAAATTGTTCCTTCAATTGAAGAATATGTTTCCTCAGTTATAATTACGTAATCCTATATGTTTTGTTCTAAGAACCTTCAGTGAAATACCAGCTTCCATTTGAGCCCTTGATTATTAAGATCGGACGTACCTGAAGCGCGCTGCTGAATTCCAAACAATAAAAAATGTAATTATTTTGGGATTTACCGACGACCAGTGATCAATAACCCCATTTTAATTTTAGTCCGATTTTTATGATTGAGGTCTCGAATTGAAGGTATGCAAGTACAGATTTGCCATCAAGCATCGGCATAAATGTATCTATAATCCCACTTGGTGTATACGTAAATGAAATTTGCTCCCCATGTATTTCTTATGGAACTTAAATTTGGTTTCTCTTTG